GAACACCATAGGTGCTATACGCGCGGTGAGCATGTCATTATGCTGATTTCTGGTTTATTTTGTTTTTTTAAATGTTTAAATATGTTTTTTTTCCCCTCTTGGCAGTTTTAATTTACTTATTTTTAAAGACAACACATAAAGTGATACAACAAGTATCACACTGACAGCACCGATGTTCGATTCGTGAACGAGTCGTATCTTTTGAATGAATCGGTTCAGCTCGTTCAAATGAAAGAGTTTTTAACGAATCAAATGTAGCGGTTCATTGGCTGATTGAACAGAGATTCGTTTCTTTCAAACATGTCCGACTCGTGATGAACCAAAAGCCGAGGAGTGTTGTAATGCAAATATACATGCAAATATTATATCTAGATTATTTACAAAACAAAATTTGCACGAACGAAAATTTGGCAGATGTTTTTTTATTTTTATTTGCCAAAGCGACTTACAATACAGGAGCACCAAGCCAACAATATTCAAAGTATACAATGTATAATTTATATAAATTATACAAACTATGTTGCATTTATGAGGCCAAGTTTTTTAAATGTGTATCTTAACTTTAAAGTTTTATTTATTTACTTGCTTACTTCCATTTGCTCCATTTAATTATTTAATGTATATTATTTTACTGCACATTGAATATTATATAAATATCTACTTTCCTTTCTTTCTTTCTTTTAATCACCATCACATGTTCTTTAACCTCAAAAGCTCATTTCTTGTATTTCTTGTATCTTTCAAACATTGTGAAAGCATTGCATTATCTGTGGTTTTCCTCAACACACCGTAAATCTCACACCAATCACTGGATTCTTCCTCTTATAATGACTTCCTCTATAATGAAGGCGAGTGAGAATGGAGCCACGGGTGTGGAGCTGGACCTGGAGTTCACAGCTGATGGGGTTCCCATACTGATGCACGATGACACCGTGGACCGAACCACAAACGGATCAGGACCACTGAGCAAGCTGCTCTTCTCTGAACTGCGCAAACTGGATGCAGCAGCCAAACACAGATTCAGGTTAGATGGGAAGAAAGACAGCCTTGTTTCATGCATAGAGAACAAATAATCAAGACCAAGTTAAAGACTGCAGGTGGTATGTTTTTGTTGGTTGCGAGCAGTGACCGTTTCCGAGGTGAGAAGGTTCCAACGCTGCAGGAGGCAGTAGAGGAATGCATCAAGCGCCAGTTGACCATCTACTTTGACGTCAAAGGTCATCCAGATGAGGTACCATCAACTGTCAATGGTCCATTGTTGGTGGGCCCGTTTCTGTGCACCACAATCTTGATCCACAGTTTCTTGCTAATGATTCTTGCATTGGGAAACCAGAATATTAATGCTTTCATGTATCTGTTGTCCACAGGCGGCTGCAGCGCTGAAAGAATTATTCCAGAAGTATCCAGTGCTCTACAACACAAGCATCGTCTGCTCATTTGAGCCCAAAGTCATCTATAGGGTAACATAATCCAGTCCGATTGCATTTGATGGGACCTGAATTTCCTCATTTTTTTAACAATTCATATATTCTACATACATATTTTTTCCTACACTAATATAAATGTGTATTGGCTGATCTTTTCCAGATGCGACAGGCGGATCCGAATGTGGTGACCGCATTGACCCATCGGCCGTGGAGTCTGAGTCGGTTTGGCGACGGGACGCCGCGGTTCTCATCCGCGTGGAAGCACCACTGGATGCAGGTGTTGGATGTGCTCCTGGACTGGGCTCATCATCACCTGCTGTGGAACCTGTGTGGAGTCTCCGCCTTCCTGGTGCAGAAGAACTTCATCTCGCCGTGAGTCACCATGACTTTATTGCTATTTTTAGATTATTATTCTGAAGCCATATCATTGTATTACATTACCGTAAGGTATTTAACACACCTACCGCAGGTCCTGAAATAAATTGCACATATCTGTCAGTTACAGAAAAGCAACCACTGCATGTAACTGCTGAAATGGGAGTTATTACTGAATGTGACCACTGTGTGGTTGTATTTTAAAGCACTGACCATTATCTTTGACCACTGCTGCACAACCCTAACACTTATTTTCTTAGTCCTCTCTGAAATGCTACAGGTGGGACTTCAGTGGTTGTTAGCGCTGTCAGGCATCATATTATTGTTTATATTTAGGATTAGGGAGTCATATGGACAGCTTGGTAAATTTGGAGCACTTATGCCTTGTCCACACTAATATGTTTTAGTTTGAAAATGCACCTTTTTCTCTGCGTTTTGGCCTTCCATCCACACTGAGACAGTGTTTTTGTCAAGGAAAACGGAGCTTTTTGAAAACAAAAATTGAAAAGTGAATAAATTTGAAAATGCTGTTTTCGTGTTGTAGTGTGGACTGTGAAAACGATGACGCATGTTTAGTCATGTGACGCATATTGTACCAATAGATATCCATGTTTATACCGGTATTGTGCCTGTTATGTGCTATTCACTTTCACACTGTTGCTACAGATATGTTACTTTGTACACTCTTCATGTTACAGTCCTGCAAAGGTAACAGAAATTTTACTCACAATTGCTGCCCTGTGGCAAAACATGAGGGCAGTTGCGTTTTATATCAAACATATAGTGAGCGAGCGCGAACTGGACACGTCAGTGAATGATGAGATTTTTTCATAAATAAAATTATCCTGTCAGAGAAATTGCATAAACTTATGTCTGTTCCATCTGTATCATCTCAGTGAGCTTTTATGAGGTTTTACACATGGGCAGTAAGGCGAGTTTAACGTTTTCCGATGTTTCAGTGTGGATGAGAAACTTTTGTAAAACGCTAGCGTGGACGTAGAGAGTTTTATAATGAAAACTATTTTCAAATGTATCCGGATTAATGTAGACATAGCCGTATTTCATGATTTATACACTAAAATCTATCTTATATATAGATTTTTGAAGTTTAATGTCCCAGACAACCTCTGTGGTCTAATTTAGCCACTTGTTAGCAACCGCCTTTTTCAAGATGCGTAAAAGCTTAATAAAGTAAGTAGGGTATATTACTAATGTATTTTATGTCATAGAAAACAATGTGAAAATACCTTGAGTTTGTGTTCACCAGACTGTATTTCAGGCATTTAAAGGGGTCATATGATGCAATTTCAAATTTTCCTTTCTCTTTGGAGTGTTACAAGCTGTTCGTGCATAGATAAGATCCTAGATACTAAAGTCTCAAACCCAAAGAGATATTCTTTATAAAAGTTAAGACTTGTCCACGCCCTCCTAAAACGGCTCGTTCTAACACGTGCACACACGTCTACGTCACTGTGTGGGAAGATTTGCATAACACCGCCCAAATGTTCACGCAAAGAAAGAAGGCTTAACTTTTATTCTGGCTGTAGTGTTGTTGCCACCGCCGCCATGTCGTGGAGACGCTGTGTGTTTCGTTGTGAAAACGAAACTACTTTGGTTGGCCTTCCAAAAGAGGAC